TTTTTAAATAGCTTATTATATAAATAAAAAGAATAAATTAAATAAAAGAAATATATTTAAACAAATAATTATTGTTTAAAAAACAAAATATATAAAAAAAGAATAATTGAATTAACATTAATATTTTTTAATGACAAAAGCATTATTGATTGATTGTAAAATTATTTTAATATGAAATAAAATTTCAAGGATTATTAAGTTTTTTTGATTATTGTAATGAAACTAATAATCAATTATAACTAAAAGAAAATTGTTTTCGTAGATTATTAAAAAATGTATTTCAATTATTTATTAAATTGAAAGAGATCAATTTAAAAATTAAATGACCTGAACTCTTGAAATAAACTCTATTCGTAGGATTCAAAAATTAAAAGTGTGAAAGGTTTTATGTTTTGTATATGCACTTAAATACAATTATGTTCTCTCAACATTTGATCAATTTTTTTTAGATAATAATTATTCAATCTGTTTGAAATATTTTCCATTACACAAAGAATAGATATGCATTAAGGTGATGTATTGCTTCATTGTTTTACACTTTTTCCGGGAACAAATAGTTGGATAAAAAATTGAGTTGATATTATCTTAGGGTTGACTTAGGAATGTAAATTGATTCTTAAGGTAAAATAACTATCATTTAAATGAGATAAAAAAAAATTCAATTTTAAATTAGTAACCTTAACCGTGTGTCTTAATAATTGGATTTTCAGTGACAAACATTATTAACTACAATAGTCAAAGAAAACTTATCACACTTAGTGGTATAAAGTTTTCCTTCAGCTATCAATTTTTAATATTCTAATAAATTTAATAAAAATATATATTATTATTAACATATATTGGTAAGTCAAAATTATATTTTATAGCTTATTGTCGTCACTCTTGGATTTTATTATTGATGATAATCAAATTATCGTCCCTATCATTGGATTAAAAAAGTTTAATAAGTTAAATTCAGATTTTTTTTAATTTGAAAGATCATGAAAAGTAATGAATTAATTACAATTTGAATGTGTTGGATTGATATATTCTTTAAAGTTTAAGTGTATAAAACAACTATTTCCAAAATTTGAAATATTAAAAATTTGGCAGTTATAAATATTCTTAATGAAATGGACAATAATTTTATTATTATTTTTATTATATTATAATGTACATTAAGAAAAGAAAAGGAAAACGCTGTGAAAATACAACAAAGATTTAATAATTGATGCAAGAATTTAAACCAATTTAGATAAACCAAGATGATTCCTAAAAAAAATTAGTATTCCATTTACAGAAATAAACGCTAAGAGGTGGCGGATGTGGAAGTTCGATAGAAGCCGCTTCTTAACCTTCTAATTTACCTTGTTATATTCCCCTAGATTTTTCTTCAAATATTAAAAAGTATTCAAATATAATTGGCGAGAAAGCATCTCTAATATTTGATAAAAAGAAAAAAAATGAAGTTTTGATAGCATTTTTATGGTTTTAAGACAATACCATATATATTTAATCCTTATGTCTTAATGATTAAATGACCTTAAAACATTATCCTTTAATTGAAAGAACTTTAGAAAATTTAATGAAATGCCTTGATATTTATTTACAAAGTTCAGGATATTTATTATATTAATTACTTCAAATTTGTAATTGTTTAATAAGAGTTATTTTTACTTATCAATTAAAAAACGAAGATCGATATTTGGAAGAGAACTTAAAATAAGTTTTTTCAGAATAAATTGCTAATATCGAAACTATGATGTAAATAGAATCCTCTAATATTTGGATAACTGGTGTTGAATTTGAACTATAATTGATAAAAACGTGGCTCTCTCATTGTCGTACGAATTCCTAGAAATCAAAAGAATTAGGATTATCTGTATTAAGTGGTATAGTATCATCAATTGTATAACTTAAGCCTAGCGATGAATTAATAGAATCTTTAATTGAAAGTGCTAAATTTATTTTGATGAACTTTTTTGAATGCTAAATAAAGAATCCAATATAAAAATATGAAATATATTACTTTTTTGAAAGTTTAAAGTGGTCGATTTTAAATTAATTATTGTTAGGATGTTCTGTTTAAAAATAGATTAAATAAATTGAAGAAGGTTTTAAAAAATATATTGAACCATCAAAAGATTGGATGATACATTTTTGTTGGATAAATGTAATATCTGACTTAATTACATACAGGCCTATCATTCACTAAAATAATATTTCAAAAATAATTAAGTCCAACTAACCAGTTTATGTAATTTTTAAAGAGCTATTAAATTCTTAATATATTGTATAAATTCCTTATGATAAAAATTAAGCAAGAGTTAAAATTTTTAATGTAGAAAAATCCAACTATTAAATATTTAAGGAATTACAAATTTTTTAAGAGTATCTCATATCTGAAGAAGTTCATGAACTAGGATTGTGGCGTAAATATATTAATTTTGAAATTAACAATCATTAAAATTCTATTATAAGCAATTATGATTTAAATTTATAGTTATTGAGAAGTTAAACAAACTGTGATGAAATTTTTAAGTTGAATACGCTGTTACAAAATTTAAGAGATGAGATTTTAAAATTAATTGAAGAAGTAAAATAAAAAAAATTTTAATTGTTTAATACTAAAAATCAATAAAAAATATAACTTAATATCTAAAAATAAGATCTAAGATCTGAATTGAAACAAATAAAATTAAAAAGTTTATAATTAATATATATTTGTAATGAAATTGATATCAAATTAAATTAAGAAAAAGTAAAAATTACCATAATTATGGAAACTTTAAAATTAAATGAAGAAGATTGTTTGTTAAAATAAAAAAAGTAATATTAACTATTTATTGATTCCTTTTAAAAAATCAATTAATCTTATTAATAATTGCAATTAATTTTCAACTAAGTACTTAATGTTTGGTTTCACTTTTTTCAATTCATATATATAAATTATGATGTTTCAAAAGATTTAAGCTAATTAAATGAAGAAGATACCTACGATTAAGATAAATTTAACTCTTCTGTTACTCAGATTATTGATGAAGTAAATATGTTAATTAATTTAATAAAAAAATTATAATTAAATTTTACATCAATATTATGTCAGAACAGCATTCGAATAATAATTCAAGAAACAATATCATTTAAAATGCTGTCGGAAAAGTTAAAAGAAATTTATTAATTATCTTTTTTCAAATAAATGATAATTTAATCAAAACAATTTATTAAATAGAATTTCTCTATAGAAAAATGGAAATTATAGTAAACGAATTATCAAAAGTATTTAACTGAATGTAGAAGTCTTATTCTTATAATTTTTACAAATTATCGGCTTTTATAAATAAACAGTATTAAATTAAAAATAGTTAAGGAAAAATTAACTAAATAATTGAGTTAAGAATAAGAAAATAATTTGAACAGTAAAAATACATAAAATTTTAAGGATTAAATTCTTAAAATTATTAAAAGCCAAAAAGCAAAATTAGAATTAATTTAAAATACATATAGTTCTATTGAGGCTAATTAAGGAGAAATTTAAGAATATGCTAATTTTATTTAATCAATACTTTAAGATATTGAATGGATCTCTAAAAGTGATTTCGATTAATAATTTAAAAATAGTTTCATAACTATTTTTTAAGAAATAATTATCAAATTATAAATAATTTTATTTATACCCAACGATAAAACTTAAATTTTAAAAGACGTGTTAGTTATTTATGAAAAAAATTATGATCCAGATTTAATTAGCTAAAAGTCTTAGTTCACAATGCAAGATAAGAAAAAAGTAAGTAATAATCTTAATAAAGAAAATCTTTTTGTTTTAGAACCTGAATTAATTAAATCTTTAAGCAACATATTGTAAATGACAAAAAAAATAAGGTTTGTATTAAAATCTAATTTAAATATTCTTTTAATGATGCATAAAGATCAATATAAAGTATAAACCTCAAATACAAATATTTAAGATATTTCCAATATAGAACCCATTCTAAAAAATCTATCAGGGTAAATTCAAAAAACATAATAAAATTTGGAAAATTTCATTTAAAATATCTTTGCTTAAGAAGAAGAAAATACATGTAACTAATTTTAATAATGTGATTTATATCAATCGTATTTAATATTGTTTGATTCAAATATAAATCAATCAAATAAGATGAACAATTAATTTGAAGAAATCATACTTGATGAGAATTTGAATTTTATTTTTTAACAATAACATTTGGAATCTTTTAAATAACAAAATTTAGGAATATTAACTTTATTTGATAATACTTCTTATAAAGCGAGAGAATTACTTGCATTTAATTTGATTAAAGCTTAATATATTGTTTAGGAGGGAACTCTATAAGATATATGTTCTAACCTTTTGAAACAAATTTGGATTGTTGAAAAAAATCCTAGTGTAAGGAGAGTTTTATAAAATCAAGAGATGATTGAAATGCAAAAATAATTATTTTCAAAAGATCTTTTTTTATTTTCAAATTCACTAAAAAATGATATGATTAATAAATTAAAGTAAATAGAGTAATTAGAGAATCAAATCTTTTAAAATGATAATTCTGAGAAATTATAAATTTAGTTTTAAGAAGCATATGATGAATTTGAAGTATTTTTAGATAATTTAGATGACATGTCATAAAAATTAGATATTTAAATGATATTTCTAAAGGATATTAGCAAAAATTTGTAAACAATAAAATGTAAACTTGATCGATTAATAAAAAATGTATCAGAAATAGGAAATGATGTGAGAAGATTGAGAGGTAAAAATATTTATGAATTATTATAATTAAGGAAAGAAAGGGTATTAAAATAACAGGAAGAAAATGAATTAAATTAAATATATGTTGAATAGAGGACATAGGAATATGATCCAAAAACTGGATAAAAATTCTCTATAGGAGATGATAAAAACACTCCTTAAATCACATTTCTATTAAAAGATTAATATGATGATTTTAATGGTGAAATAAATAAATTTTTATGGGACAAAAAAGAAAGATATAAAGATGCTTTACTAATTAAAGGAAAAGCTGGCTCTGGTAAAAGTAGAGCATCAAGAAATATTGAAGAATTTTTATGGAAATATGATATTTAATAGCCAAATTGGTATCCAATCATTATTTCTTTACCTTCTTTAAATGATCCATTACATAATTTAATTGATTAGGGATTAGAATCAGAAATTTACAATTTTGATAAATTATAAATAAGAGAATTTAAAGAGGCAATCTAAAATGAAAATATAAAAATTGTTTTGATATTGGATAGTTATGATGAGATGAAAAATGAATTTATTTAAGCAAATTTGATTACTACAAATCGTTTGAGTTAAGATTTAAATATTAAAGAATCTGGATAGAATCTCAAAATTATTATTACTTGTCGAGAAGAAATATTAACATCTTCTACTTATTAATCTTGGTTTTAGGGAAAGAGTATTGATTCATTTAAAGAAGTTTAATTGGTTCCATTTGATGAAAAGTAAAGCAGTCTTTACATAAGGTTATTTATTAAACTGAGTATCAGAAGAGAGTTATCATAATTTTATGATATGATTAAATAATTAAAAGGCAGTGGATTTGTATTTTCTGAATTTAAAGCCATCTGTTTATTACTAGATAATTTAATAAATGAAATTTTATAAACTTCAGAAAACTAGGATATCCTCTTATAAGATCAAGATGCAAAAAAAATAGTTAAGAAATTGTAATAAATTCCACAATATCAATTCGTTAAAGATCAATAGTTTTTGTTTTTGTAAAAAGGACTTCTTTAATTATGGAGTGAATAAAAATTCACTTAAACAATTGAAAATTTTAAAATTAATGATTTTTTGAAAACACCATTTATGATAGAGATAATTGTATAAATTTTACCAAAAATCTCTTAAAACTATTAACAATCTTCAACAATAAGAGAATTGCTGTAAAATAATTATAAAAAATTGAAATATTAAATACTATAATAAAAGCAAACACTATAAGAATATCAATCAAAAACTGGTATTTAAGAAATCAATTTTAATTAAGTCATTGAAAAATAATTATCTGAAATTATGCTTGAATTGGAAGATCAATGTTTTTTTGACAAATACTTAATATCTTCAAAAGTAGAGTTTTAGGATTAGTTTATAATACAATCAAATGAAAAATATCAATTAAAATAGGATGCTGAAGTAATTTATTAAGCATTGAAAATTAATTAATTCACTACTTATGATTTTTATCAGATCTTTGTTAATTATTATCATTAATAGTAGCTATAAAAATGGTAGGAATTAGGAAAAGTACCTAATTAACAGATGATTTAAATAGATTTATTAGAATTTTCTTAATCTTTAGCTTTAGATATGATAATACATCAATAATTTTAAGTAAATTATCAGCCAAAAGGAAGATTGGCTCTTACTTCAATAAATTAAGAAAATTAAAAAAAATAGTTATAGTGGGAAGATTAATATTTTAGTGAATAAGATTTGGATTCTGATTACAAAAAGTTAATACGAAAATGTATTCTATTAAGCTCTAATGGAAGTTAACATTCATTTACTCATAAATCAATATAAGAATTTTTTGTAGCAAAATACATACTTAATCTATTAGAGAATATATGCAATAACAGTGATGAATAGTAAGTTGATAAAAAATAACTTGAAAATAGTTTGATGAACAATAATTCATTTAATTTATCACATGAACATTTTAAAGGTGCTTTATTGTTACTCAAAGGAAAACTATAAAATAAAAATGATATTACAAAATTATTGACGTCATTAGTTCAATTATCATACAAAAAAGAATCGAAGTTTATTCGCTTAGCCTCCAATTCTATATTTCTTTTAAGTTTATTAGGAAAAAATCTAGGAAATAAAAATTTCGATTCAGTTTGTTTGTAGGATACATGCATTAATGGACTTAGCTTTTGTGAGAGTGTGTTATCTGAGACATGCTTTAACAAAGTTTCTATTGACTCATGTAATTTTAATAATGCAATCATTACTGATGCTGTATGGAATAATATAATCACTAAAGAACGAATTACTTAAGATTATAAAGGTGAAAAAATTTTTGAAATAATTTTGAGTGAAAATGGGGATGAATTTTATACTTTAAGTGTGTTTAATAAATATTAAATAATATTTAGATAATTTACTTTTAAATTGGATTAAAAACCAAAAGAAAGAAGATTTAATTTGTAATTTGAGGATGAGATTCACTTTATTTCAATAGCTAAAAATTTATCAATTATTTGTTGCCAAACAGAGAGTTCAATATAACTCTGGTATTTGCAAGATTTAAATAATAAAATAACCAATGATGATTGTATTATTTTCAAAAATTTACTAGTTGTAAATTTTGTTCTTAGTTAGGATGGAAGTTAATTGTTAATAAACACATAAAATACAATTATTTGGTTTAATGAACATTTTAATTTAAAAATAAATAATACCTTAACAACATCTGAGTCAATAACTGATTAGAAAACTATTTTAGAGTTTAAAATGGCAATTTCTCTAAATGCAAAACTTTTAGCCCTTTTAATTAATAGGAAAATTATATTGTGGGACATTCAAGAGATTCAAAATATCACAAAGGTTCAAGAATTTGAACTTAATTCAGATTTTATTAATAATATTGCTTTTTCTAAAGATGGAAATTATCTTGTCTTAACCACAGAATATTACAACACTATTGTGGAAATTGATAATTAAAGAAAAATTCATAAAATTTGCTCCTTTTTTAACTTAAGTTCTAAAAATACAGCATTGATATCTCCTGACAACAATTATATGAGTTTTTATAGTTCTGAATATTTAGCTATATATCAAACTACCAATATTAAGGAATTTTTCTAAAAATATAGAATACCACACAAGTTAGAATATTCAAAAAATATGGTGGCGGTAATTTCAAATAATTTCGAATTATTTGCTTGTACAAGTAAATTCGCTACTTAAATTTGGAATATTAAAGAACTTAATTAAATATAAGAGTTAGGGGTTTTAGAGTCAGAGGAATATGAAATGTAAGGTTTGGAATTTTCTAATGATTGTTAATATTTAATATCATTTAGTTAATCATATATTTTGTTTATTTGGAATGTGAAATAAATGAAATTAATAAAGAAATTTACCAGTAATTTTGCAATTTCTAGTTTACTATTTTCTTCTGATGGAAAAGTATTAGTCTCACATTCTAGTTGTGATATAGTTCTGTGGGATATGTCAAAAATTCAAGAACCAATTATAGTTAGGGAAATTAAAAATGACTTTGACATTTTATTTCTAATTTTATCAAAAAAATCGATCTATATGATTACTTATGATAACCTAAAACAATTTACAATAAGGAATGCTTAGAGCGGTGAGATAATTTAATAATTTAGGTAAGAGTCTAGTTTTGCAATATTTAATGATGATGGCAATAAATTTGCTACATATTATAGAGGAATTATTTAAATTTGGAAATTTTAAGAGAATATTTTTGTAATAGTGCATATACTTGAAGTTCATAATAAACTCCTATTTTTAAGCTCAAATAATAATTTCCAACTTTAAAAGAATATGTATAATTAAAAATATATACTTAAAGAAATATTAAATGAAGATTATTAGTTTTCTGCAAATCTATAATTAGAAAATCAAGGTTTTTAATTGATTTTAACAGTTTAAAATGAATTTATAGAAATTTAGAAGGTAGAAGGATAGAGCTACAACTATGTTTAAAAATATACAATAATTGAGGCTGTTTTTTCTTCAGATTCCTCTATTTTATGTTTTGCAACTATAAACAAATAAATCATGATAATGAATATTTCTAAAACAGTAATTGTCAGCCAAATTAATATTGATACTAGTAGAATTTGCCATTTATAATTATCCGAAGTAGATGATATTTTAGCAGTAGCACATTAAAATAAAAACTAGGCCTAAATTGATTTATTTACAATCAAGAATAGAGAAAATCCTCGTTTCCTTTAATCCAATTAATGTTTCTTTATTCCTCGGGCAATGTAATTTAGGAATAATAATGAATATCTTCTCATTGTGATCGAATTCATAATTCTACGTTTTGATCTAGATAATTTTAAAACACCAAAATTAATTGATTTTCTTTAATAAAATTCACAATTACTATAGGATTTTGATGAAAAACATTTAATATTTGTTAATGAAGATGGATAAATTTGTTCTTTAACAACACATACTATCAATAATAGTTTTGGAGCTAATTTTTTAAATAGTCAATTGTCCTTTTTGTTTTTTTAAAAAAATACAAAAATTATCTAGTTATTTTTATAAGAAGCGGATAATCTTTATTTTAGAAAAATAAATACAAATACTAATTAATATGACCAACATCAAAAATTAAATGTAAAAGTTACAATAAACAATATCCTCCAAACAAATAAATCAGATTAATGGATTTTTAGTGCATTTTTAGAGAGCCAAATATAATTTATAATTTTCGATTTAAAATAGAATGCTATAATAAATATAATTGAAGATGAATATACTAAATACAATTTTTTTTCTAATTTTTCATTGTCAGATGATGATTAATATCTTGCAAGTGCTTATGCAAATTCTTATATTAAAGTTTGGGATATGAAAACTTATAAGCTTCTCTTTAAATAAAAGATGAACACTGATTCTTTAGATAGAGTTTTGATATCGACTAAAGGCATGTTAGTAAGTTGTTATAAAACCAAATTAAAAGTTTGGAACTTTAAAGCATTAAGGCAAGAATAAAATCTTGAAATGGATGGTCATATTTACTCATTATTAAATATATTGGTCTCACCAGATGGTTTAGTATTATATTCTCAATCAAATGATGAAATTAAATTCTGGGATTTAGAAGAATTAAAATTGTTAAATGAATTCGATATAAGGGCTGCTTAAGACGGAAAATTTGATAATACTGGTAAATATTTTGCAGTTAAAAGTGAGATAGGAATAATAGTATTTAAATTCATGAGCAAATTTATTATTGAAAAATTTATTCTAAACACAGAAAAAGCTGCCAATTACTATTATTTTACTTGTAATTCTTAACAAATAGTTTAAGAATTTTGGGATAGTGGATTTTTCTGGAATCTCAAAGAAGCAGAAAAATTGAATAAATTATCTTCTTATATTTCTAAATAACAACCTGTCATAGAATTCACTTTTTCAGATAATTGCAAATACGCCATAGTGCATAGTAAGTTCTAAATATTTGAAGTAGATTCTAAAATGAAATTGAAGGAAATAAAGTCTAAGTAATTCTTAGGATGTAAGATTCTTAATTTTAGCTTATCCCATTGTTTAAACATGATTGCATTGTAATATGATGAGTAAGAATTATTTATATTTTCTCTTATGTAAATGGAAATCATCAAAAAAATTGAATGCAATGATAAAATAGGATTATTCTGTTTCTCTTTAAATGATGAACTTTTTATATTATTATGTAAGTCATAATATTAAGTTTATCAAGTAGCTAATAATTCAATTAATGAAATATCAAAAGTAGAGTTTACTGTGGATTAGATGTTCACTAAGATATTTCCATTCTAAGCAAATAAATTTATCTTTATGGAACAAAATTATATTCAAGTTTTTGAGAATTAAGAATTAGTTAAAAAACTTCCAGAATAAGTTTATCAAGTTGATGCTTTTTGTACAAAAGATAAATTATTAGCATTTGCAGGATACAGATAAAAAATCATTACTATATATTAATTAAATAGTTCAACTGAGATTGAGAAATTAGCTACTTTAAATAACGTTGGAGTAATTGAACAATATTATCATTTTAATTCAGCAATTTAGTTTTCTTAAAATGGTTAATTCTTAATATCACTTGGGGATGACAAAGTCATTAAATTATGGGACATCACGAATACAATATCAATTCGATTACTATGTTTTTAAAATAATATTTCTGTAAATGCTTTCAAAATTTTATAAGATCAAGAATGTCGAATAGCATTGATTGATAATAATAATTAAATTCATATTGAACATTATGATTCTAGTATTTTACTTGCCACTTAAAAAGAATTTCCTAAAATTGATTGTTGTGAAATCTTATAAATAGCCTCACCTGATGGAAAATATGAATTATGTTATAATGATTATGATGAGATTATTTAAATTTATGTCTAAGATAGATAATTAGTAAATAAAAAAGCTGTTGATAAAAAAAGTATCAATAATACTAAGTTTTTTGACTCATAAACTTTAGTTTGGAGTATGGAGACTAAAATTATTTTTTGGAAATTCTTATTNTACTATTATTTTACTTGTAATTCTTAACAAATAGTTTAAGAATTTTGGGATAGTGGATTTTTCTGGAATCTCAAAGAAGCAGAAAAATTGAATAAATTATCTTCTTATATTTCTAAATAACAACCTGTCATAGAATTCACTTTTTCAGATAATTGCAAATACGCCATAGTGCATAGTAAGTTCTAAATATTTGAAGTAGATTCTAAAATGAAATTGAAGGAAATAAAGTCTAAGTAATTCTTAGGATGTAAGATTCTTAATTTTAGCTTATCCCATTGTTTAAACATGATTGCATTGTAATATGATGAGTAAGAATTATTTATATTTTCTCTTATGTAAATGGAAATCATCAAAAAAATTGAATGCAATGATAAAATAGGATTATTCTGTTTCTCTTTAAATGATGAACTTTTTATATTATTATGTAAGTCATAATATTAAGTTTATCAAGTAGCTAATAATTCAATTAATGAAATATCAAAAGTAGAGTTTACTGTGGATTAGATGTTCACTAAGATATTTCCATTCTAAGCAAATAAATTTATCTTTATGGAACAAAATTATATTCAAGTTTTTGAGAATTAAGAATTAGTTAAAAAACTTCCAGAATAAGTTTATCAAGTTGATGCTTTTTGTACAAAAGATAAATTATTAGCATTTGCAGGATACAGATAAAAAATCATTACTATATATTAATTAAATAGTTCAACTGAGATTGAGAAATTAGCTACTTTAAATAACGTTGGAGTAATTGAACAATATTATCATTTTAATTCAGCAATTTAGTTTTCTTAAAATGGTTAATTCTTAATATCACTTGGGGATGACAAAGTCATTAAATTATGGGACATCACGAATACAATATCAATTCGATTACTATGTTTTTAAAATAATATTTCTGTAAATGCTTTCAAAATTTTATAAGATCAAGAATGTCGAATAGCATTGATTGATAATAATAATTAAATTCATATTGAACATTATGATTCTAGTATTTTACTTGCCACTTAAAAAGAATTTCCTAAAATTGATTGTTGTGAAATCTTATAAATAGCCTCACCTGATGGAAAATATGAATTATGTTATAATGATTATGATGAGATTATTTAAATTTATGTCTAAGATAGATAATTAGTAAATAAAAAAGCTGTTGATAAAAAAAGTATCAATAATACTAAGTTTTTTGACTCATAAACTTTAGTTTGGAGTATGGAGACTAAAATTATTTTTTGGAAATTCTTATTAAATTAAGAGTAAGAATTTAATTTTTAGGAAAAAACTGAGTATTTAACTTCTTCCCCAAACAAATAGGTATTTTTAGGTTTATGTGGTGAGAGGAAAATATTGGGAATCTATAATAGTTAGACTGGTTAACAGATATTTTAACCATAAACCTTTTAATGTTCAGTAACTCAAGGTTGTTGTTCTCCTTGTGGCGAAAAATTTTACATATCATTTTACGATGGATCCATATAATTATTTAAGTTTGATTCAAACAATATCAATAATTGTAAACCACCTATTTGTTATAAAGTCTTTGCAACAAATTCTTCATTTCTTGCCAATAATTGCCAAATAAATGGATCTTAATTTAAAAGCACTGAAAATGAAAATCTATTTTCATTATTTGAAGAAAAGGGAGCCATAAATAAATGAAATCAATAAATTTAACAATTATAAATATTCAATTTGACATTACAAATATAATACAACAATTTTTTTTTTTTTTATTGATATAATAATATCTAAGTTGAAGGGAAAGAAATGTTTTCGTTAAAGAAAATTAAAAAAACATATAGTATTTGTATATAATTAATAAAAACAATAATATGAAATTAAAAATAAATTGTTTTGTTAAAGTTATTAGCAGAAAAATACAACAATTGGAATTGTAAGGCTCAGATATTTAAATTAGTATTGGTATAAGGATAATTTGAGAATTTTAATGACAATTCAATAGATTTAAAAGATTAAATTTAATGATAGTTAAATACATAGGCAACGATTATAATAAGTCAAAGAGATTAAAGAGGGTATCTATGAATGAAAAAGTAAAATTGGGGTATTTTATTTCAATGATGAAAGAATGAAATTAATAGAAATTTTGAAATAAGATTAAAAATTTATGTTTTTTCTTTATGATTCAAGTAGAAGACAATGAATGCATAATTTTCTTATGTATGGTAATTAGTTTGGCTGATGACAAATTTTTCAAGATCGGTAAAACATAAGTGTATTTAATATTCATTAGGTTTAGCCCACTAGTAGGTTTAATTCAGCAGTCACATTATGTTGAATTCTCTAC